AGACCAGAGAGAGACCAGAGGGAGACCAGAGAGAGACCAGAGAGAGACCAGAGGGAGACCAGAGGGAGACCAGAGAGAGACCAGAGAGAGACCAGAGAGAGACCAGAGGGAGACCAGAGAGAGACCAGAGAGAGACCAGAGTGAGACCAGAGAGAGACCAGAGAGAGACCAGAGGGAGACCAGAGGGAGACCAGAGAGAGACCAGAGAGAGACCAGAGAGAGACCAGAGGGAGACCAGAGAGAGACCAGAGAGAGGCCAGAGTGAGACCAGAGTGAGACCAGAGAGAGACCAGAGGGAGACCAGAGAGAGACCAGAGAGAGACCAGAGAGAGACCAGAGGGAGACCAGAGAGAGACCAGAGAGAGACCAGAGAGAGACCAGAGAGAGGCCAGAGAGAGACCAGAGAGAGACCAGAGAGAGACCAGAGAGAGACCAGAGAGAGACCAGAGAGAGACCAGAGAGAGACCAGAGAGAGACCAGAGAGAGACCAGAGAGAGACCAGAGAGAGACCAGAGAGAGACCAGAGAGAGACCAGAGAGAGACCAGAGAGAGACCAGAGAGAGACCAGAGAGAGACCAGAGGTAGGACCAGGACGAGTCTCTCACCAGCACTGTCGCAGCAGGAGTTTGAAACTGTCTGGACAGGTGTCTGGGACCGGCAGCTGCAGACTGTTGTTGCCCACGCCCCAAATGATGGCGGAGGAGTCTACGTCTTTATACGGGACCTCTCCAGTCAGCATCTCCCACATGACCACACCGAAGGACCTGCAGAGAGAGAGGCTAGCATCACACCGAAGGACCTGCAGAGAGAGAGGCTAGCATCACACCGAAGACCTGCAGAGAGAGAGGCTAGCATCACACCGAAGACCTGCAGAGAGAGAGGCTAGCATCACACCGAAGGACCTGCAGAGAGAGAGGCTAGCATCACACCAAAGGACCTGCAGAGAGAGAGGCTAGCAGCACACACACCGAAGAAGACCTGCAGAGAGAGAGGCTAGCATCACACCGAAGACCTGAGAGAGAGAGAGAGGCTAGCATCACACCGAAGACCTGCAGAGAGAGAGGCTAGCATCACACCGAAGGACCTGCAGAGAGAGAGGCTAGCATCACACACCGAAGACCTGCAGAGAGAGAGGCTAGCATCACACCGAAGACCTGCAGAGAGAGAGGCTAGCATCACACCGAAGGACCTGCAGAGAGAGAGGCTAGCATCACACCGAAGGACCTGCAGAGAGAGAGGCTAGCATCACACCGAAGACCTGCAGAGAGAGAGGCTAGCATCACACCGAAGACCTGCAGAGAGAGAGGCTAGCATCACACCGAAGACCTGCAGGGAAACTCTCAAAGGTCTATGGGAAACTCTCAAAGATCTATGGGAAACTCTCAAAGATCTATGGGAAACTCTCCTGTATTTGGGCATCGTCTGGTCCTCCCGGTTCTGTGCAGTGGATGATCTCCCATAATGCATTGCGTCAAACACGCGTGTGTGGGTCTCACACCGGGTCTCACGCACGTGCACAGAGGGTCTCACGCACGTGCACAGAGGGTCTCACGCACGTGCACAGAGGGTCTCACGCACGTGCCCAGAGGGGCTCGGCTCTGACCAATCAGAGCAGTTCATCAGAGCGGGAGTTAGAGCGGGAGCCAGACGAGCAGAGTTTGTGGCACTAAAGTGTGGATTTAAACAAAACCGAAGGATTTAAGAAGAAAAAAAGTTCAGGACGACAAGGGACACTAAAATCCCCACAAAATCTGACCTTTATTAAAGCTGTAGGTTCTCTGTAGGTTCTCTGTCAGGTTCTCTGTAGGTTCTCTGTAGGTTCTCTGTCAGGTTCTCTGTCAGGTTCTCTGTCAGGTTCTCTGTCAGGTTCTCTGTCAGGTTCTCTGTCAGGTCCTCGGTCAGGTTCTCTGTCAGGTTCTCTGTCAGGTTCTCTGTCAGGTTCTCTGTCAGCTGAGGTTGAGCTGTTTTAATATGCATTGAGTTTTATGGGGAAAATTTCTGGGTAGCCCACGTGAATTTAGCCTGGTTCAGTCTGGTTCAGTCTGGTTCAGTCTGGTTCAGTCTGGTTCAGTCTGGTTCAGTCTGGTTCAGTCTGGTTCAGTCTGGTTCAGTCTGCAGTACCGCGAGAATCCCCCGAGCACGTGAGTTATTCAGCTACAAGCTAGTAATACACTATCCAGTTAATATAATAGATCCATGGACCAGACTCAGGACCAGAGGGGGGGCCAGGACCAGAGGGTGGGACCAGAGGGGGGGCCAGGACCAGAGGGTGGGACCAGAGGGGGGGCCAGGACCAGAGGGGGGGCCAGGACCAGAGGGTGGGACCAGAGGGGGGGCCAGGACCAGAGGGGGGGCCAGGACCAGAGGGTGGGACCAGAGGGGGGGCCAGGACCAGAGGGTGGGACCAGAGGGGGGGCCAGGACCAGAGGGTGGGACCAGAGGGGGGGCCAGGACCAGAGGGTGGGACCAGAGGGGGGCCCAGGACTAGGGCGCGGTTCAAAAATATGACACAGAGTTCTACATCTGGAACATTCTGTGAAAACTTACAACAGACTCGACTGAAGCAAAAGGTTAGCGTTAGCGTTAGCTTAGCCACAAAGAGTCACTGACCAGATGTCCACCTTCTCAGAGACCGGCTCGTTGCGGATGACCTCCGGCGCCATCCACGCCACGGTCCCAGCGAACGACATCTTGGTGCTTTTGTCACTGAGTTCTTTGGACGTTCCAAAGTCGGAGATCTTCACCGAGTCGTCGTAGGTGATCAGCATGCTGCACACACCGTTAGCATTAGCAGGTTAGCAGAGACACAGTTAGCATTAGCAGGTTAGCAGAGACACAGTTAGCATTAGCAGGTTAGCACTCACTTGGGGGACTTGAGGTCTCGGTGGATGATCTTGTGCAGGTGCAGGTAGTTCATCCCGCCGGCCGTCCCCATGGCCCAGTCCATCAGCAGAGACGGGTGGATCTTGCGTCCTGCGCGCAGCACCTCGTACAGCTGGCCTTGGGCGCAGTACTCCATGATGATGCAGTAGCAGGGCGCCTGGGTGCAGATGCCCCTGTCAGACAGTAAAACGAACACCACTTTACCACAGCGTGCCCGAGGTCACGTGACCAGAGCGTGCCCGAGGTCACGTGACCACAGCGTGCCCGAGGTCACGTGACCAGAGCGTGCCCGAGGTCACGTGACCACAGCGTGCCCGAGGTCACGTGACCAGAGCGTGCCCGAGGTCACGTGACCACAGCGTGCCCGAGGTCACGTGACCAGAGCGTGTGGACGTTACTTGAAGGTGATGATGTTCGGGTGCTTCAGTTATGTATAGACAGTGTTATGTATAGACAGTGTTATGTATAGACAGTGTTATGTATAGACAGTGTTATGTATAGACAGTGTTATATATAGACAGTGTTATATATAGACAGTGTTATGTATAGACAGTGTTATGTATAGACAGTGTTATATATAGACAGTGTTATGTATAGACAGTGTTATATATAGACAGTGTTAGGTATAGACAGTGTTATGTATAGACAGTGTTATGTATAGACAGTGTTATGTATAGACAGTGTTATGTATAGACAGTGTTATATATAGACAGTGTTATATATAGACAGTGTTATGTATAGACAGTGTTATATATAGACAGTGTTATATATAGACAGTGTTATATATAGACAGTGTTATATATAGACAGTGTTATGTATAAACAGTGTTAGGTATAGACAGTGTTATGTATAGACAGTGTTATGTATAGACAGTGTTATGTATAGACAGTGTTATGTATAGACAGTGTTATGTATAGACAGTGTTATATATAGACAGTGTTATGTATAGACAGTGTTATGTATAAACAGTGTTAGGTATAGACAGTGTTATGTATAGACAGTGTTATGTAAAGACAGTGTTATGTATAGACAGTGTTATGTATAGACAGTGTTAGGTATAGACAGTGTTATGTATAGACAGTGTTATATATAGACAGTGTTATGTATAGACAGTGTTATATATAGACAGTGTTATGTATAGACAGTGTTATATATAGACAGTGTTATGTATAGACAGTGTTATATATAGACAGTGTTATGTATAGACAGTGTTATGTATAGACAGTGTTATATATAGACAGTGTTATGTATAGACAGTGTTATGTATAGACAGTGTTATGTATAGACAGTGTTATATATAGACAGTGTTATGTATAGACAGTGTTATATATAGACAGTGTTATATATAGACAGTGTTAGGTATAGACAGTGTTATGTATAGACAGTGTTATGTATAGACAGTGTTATGTATAGACAGTGTTATGTATAGACAGTGTTATATATAGACAGTGTTATGTATAGACAGTGTTATATATAGACAGTGTTATATATAGACAGTGTTATATATAGACAGTGTTATATATAGACAGTGTTATGTATAGACAGTGTTATGTATAGACAGTGTTATGTATAGACAGTGTTATGTATAGACAGTGTTATATATAGACAGTGTTATGTATAGACAGTGTTATGTATAGACAGTGTTATATATAGACAGTGTTATGTATAGACAGTGTTATGTATAGACAGTGTTATATATAGACAGTGTTATGTATAGACAGTGTTATATATAGACAGTGTTATATATAGACAGTGTTATATATAGACAGTGTTATGTATAGACAGTGTTATATATAGACAGTGTTATGTATAGACAGTGTTATGTATAGACAGTGTTATATATAGACAGTGTTATATATAGACAGTGTTATATATAGACAGTGTTATGTATAGACAGTGTTATATATAGACAGTGTTATGTATAGACAGTGTTATATATAGACAGTGTTATATATAGACAGTGTTATATATAGACAGTGTTATGTATAGACAGTGTTATATATAGACAGTGTTATGTATAGACAGTGTTATGTATAGACAGTGTTATGTATAGACAGTGTTATATATAGACAGTGTTATGTATAGACAGTGTTATATATAGACAGTGTTATGTATAGACAGTGTTATGTATAGACAGTGTTAGGTATAGACAGTGTTATATATAGACAGTGTTATATATAGACAGTGTTATGTATAGACAGTGTTAGGTATAGACAGTGTTATATATAGACAGTGTTATATATAGACAGTGTTATATATAGACAGTGTTATGTATAGACAGTGTTATGTATAGACAGTGTTATGTATAGACAGTGTTATGTATAGACAGTGTTAGGTATAGACAGTGTTATATATAGACAGTGTTATGTATAGACAGTGTTATATATAGACAGTGTTATGTATAGACAGTGTTATGTATAGACAGTGTTATATATAGACAGTGTTATGTATAGACAGTGTTATATATAGACAGTGTTATGTATAGACAGTGTTATGTATAGACAGTGTTATATATAGACAGTGTTATGTATAGACAGTGTTATGTATAGACAGTGTTATATATAGACAGTGTTATGTATAGACAGTGTTATGTATAGACAGTGTTATATATAGACAGTGTTATATATAGACAGTGTTATAGACGTTACTTGAAGGTGATGATGTTCGGGTGCTTCAGTTTCCGCAGGTGTTTGATGTCCGTCTCTTTGATGGTCCTCACTTTCTTCACGGCCACTTCCTGTCCGTGCAGTTTCCCGAGAAACACTGCCCCCTGTGCCCCGCTGCCCACCCACTGCAGGTCCGAGATCTCCTCAAAGGGCACCTCCCAGGCTTCTGCAACACACACACTGTGTGAGAGTGTGTGTCTGTGAGAGAGTGTGTGTGTCTGTGAGAGAGAGTGTCTGTGAGAGAGAGTGTGTGTCTGTGAGAGAGTGTGTCTGTGTGAGAGAGAGAGTGTGACTGTGAGAGAGTGTGTCTGTGAGAGAGAGAGAGTGTGTGTCTGTGTGAGTGTGTGTCTGTGAGAGAGTGTGTGTGTCTGTGAGAGAGAGTGTCTGTGAGAGAGAGTGTCTGTGAGAGAGTGTGTCTGTGAGAGAGAGAGAGTGTGTGTCTGTGAGAGAGTGTGTGTGTCTGTGAGAGAGAGTGTCTGTGAGAGAGAGTGTCTGTGAGAGAGTGTGTCTGTGAGAGAGAGAGAGTGTGTGTCTGTGAGAGAGTGTGTCTGTGTGAGTGTGTGTCTGTGTGAGTGTGTGTCTGTGAGAGAGTGTGTGTCTGTGAGAGAGTGTGTCTGTGTGAGTGTGTGTCTGTGTGAGTGTGTGTCTGTGAGAGAGTGTGTCTGTGAGAGAGAGTGTGTGTCTGTGAGAGAGTGTGTCTGTGAGAGAGAGAGAGTGTGTGTCTGTGTGAGTGTGTGTCTGTGTGAGTGTGTGTCTGTGAGAGAGTGTGTGTCTGTGAGAGAGTGTGTCTGTGTGAGTGTGTGTCTGTGTGAGTGTGTGTCTGTGAGAGAGTGTGTCTGTGAGAGAGAGTGTGTGTCTGTGAGAGAGTGTGTCTGTGAGAGAGAGAGAGTGTGTGTCTGTGTGAGTGTGTGTCTGTGAGAGAGTGTGTCTGTGAGAGTGTGTGTCTGTGTGTGAGAGAGAGTGTGTGTCTGTGTGAGTGTGTGTCTGTGAGAGAGTGTGTCTGTGAGAGAGAGAGAGTGTGTGTCTGTGTGAGTGTGTGTCTGTGAGAGAGTGTGTCTGTGAGAGAGAGAGTGTGTGTCTGTGTGAGTGTGTGTCTGTGAGAGAGTGTGTCTGTGAGAGTGTGTGTCTGTGTGAGAGAGAGAGTGTGTGTCTGTGTGAGTGTGTGTCTGTGAGAGAGTGTGTCTGTGAGAGAGAGAGAGTGTGTGTGTCTGTGTGAGTGTGTGTCTGTGAGAGAGTGTGTCTGTGTGAGTGTGTGTCTGTGAGAGTGTGTGTCTGTGAGAGAGTGTGTCTGTGAGAGAGAGAGAGTGTGTGTCTGTGTGAGTGTGTGTCTGTGAGAGAGTGTGTCTGTGAGAGAGAGAGAGTGTGTGTCTGTGTGAGTGTGTGTCTGTGAGAGAGTGTGTCTGTGAGAGTGTGTGTCTGTGTGAGAGCCAGTGTGTGTGTGTGTGTGTCTGTGTGAGAGCCAGTGTGTGTGTCTGTGTGAGTGTGTGTCTGTGTGTGTCCAGTATATCTGAGGTAATGATGTGACTGCAGAGTTAGTGTCATAAGTTTTTGTTGTGTTGCTGAATGTGTGAGTGGAGGTTGAAAATGTATCTGCTTCTGCTTCACCCCACCCCCTTTTTTAACTGATGAACCTCGTGTTGTGCTGGTTTTTAAATAAATAAATAAATAACTAACTAGACACTTTATCGACCCCTGCAGAGAAATACAGTATATAGACAGTGTTATATATAGACAGTGTTATGTATAGATAGTGTTATATATAGACAGTGTTATGTATAGACAGTGTTATGTATAGATAGTGTTATATATAGACAGTGTTATATATAGACAGTGTTATGTATAGATAGTGTTATATATAGACAGTGTTATGTATAGACAGTGTTATGTATAGATAGTGTTATATATAGACAGTGTTATGTATAGACAGTGTTATATATAGACAGTGTTATGTATAGACAGTGTTATGTATAGACAGTGTTATGTATAGACAGTGTTATGTATAGACAGTGTTATGTATAGACAGTGTTATGTATAGACAGTGTTATGTATAGTTCCTGGCTCTAAATCAGTTTCTTTCACTCCCTCATTCAGCCAATCAGCTGTCAGCATGTAACATGAAGCATGTTGTGTCTGACACTGTGTCTCTTTGAGAATAATAATAACAAACAGTCACTTTTCTGCTGAATGTGGATCTAAACTGTATTCTGTGTTTGGTTTTGGCTTGTGTTTTATCTCAAAGTCAGCTCAGACCCTCCTCAGACCCTCCTCAGACCCTCCTCTGACCCTCCTCAGACCCTCCTCTGACCCTCTTCAGACCCTCCTCAGACCCTCCTCAGACCCTCCTCAGACCCTCCTCAGACCCTCCTCAGACCCTCCTCAGACCCTCCTCTGACCCTCCTCAGACCCTCCTCAGACCCTCCTCAGACCCTCTTCAGACCCTCCTCAGACCCTCTTCAGACCCTCTTCAGACCCTCCTCAGACCCTCCTCAGACCCTCCTCTGACCCTCCTCAGACCCTCTTCAGACCCTCCTCAGACCCTCCTCTGACCCTCCTCTGACCCTCCTCAGACCCTCCTCTGACCCTCCTCAGACCCTCCTCTGACCCTCCTCAGACCCTCTTCAGACCCTCCTCAGACCCTCTTCAGACCCTCCTCTGACCCTCCTCAGACCCTCTTCAGACCCTCCTCAGACCCTCCTCAGACCCTCCTCTGACCCTCCTCTGACCCTCCTCTGACCCTCCTCAGACCCTCTTCAGACCCTCCTCAGACCCTCCTCAGACCCTCTTCAGACCCTCCTCTGACCCTCCTCTGACCCTCCTCAGACCCTCCTCTGACCCTCCTCAGACCCTCTTCAGACCCTCCTCTGACCCTCCTCTGACCCTCCTCAGACCCTCTTCAGACCCTCCTCAGACCCTCTTCAGACCCTCCTCTGACCCTCCTCAGACCCTCTTCAGACCCTCCTCAGACCCTCCTCTGACCCTCCTCAGACCCTCCTCTGACCCTCCTCTGACCCTCCTCAGACCCTCCTCTGACCCTCCTCTGACCCTCCTCTGACCCTCCTCAGACCCTCCTCAGACCCTCCTCTGACCCTCCTCTGACCCTCCTCTGACCCTCCTCAGACCCTCCTCTGACCCTCCTCAGACCCTCCTCTGACCCTCTTCAGACCCTCCTCAGACCCTCCTCAGACCCTCCTCAGACCCTCCTCAGACCCTCCTCAGACCCTCCTCTGACCCTCCTCAGACCCTCCTCAGACCCTCCTCAGACCCTCTTCAGACCCTCCTCAGACCCTCCTCTGACCCTCCTCTGACCCTCCTCAGACCCTCCTCTGACCCTCCTCAGACCCTCCTCTGACCCTCCTCAGACCCTCCTCTGACCCTCCTCAGACCCTCCTCAGACCCTCTTCAGACCCTCCTCTGACCCTCCTCTGACCCTCTTCAGACCCTCCTCAGACCCTCTTCAGACCCTCCTCTGACCCTCCTCAGACCCTCTTCAGACCCTCCTCAGACCCTCCTCTGACCCTCCTCTGACCCTCCTCTGACCCTCCTCAGACCCTCTTCAGACCCTCCTCTGACCCTCCTCAGACCCTCCTCTGACCCTCCTCAGACCCTCCTCTGACCCTCCTCAGACCCTCCTCAGACCCTCCTCTGACCCTCCTCAGACCCTCCTCAGACCCTCTTCAGACCCTCCTCAGACCCTCTTCAGACCCTCCTCTGACCCTCCTCAGACCCTCTTCAGACCCTCCTCAGACCCTCCTCTGACCCTCCTCTGACCCTCCTCTGACCCTCCTCAGACCCTCTTCAGACCCTCCTCAGACCCTCCTCAGACCCTCTTCAGACCCTCCTCTGACCCCTCCCCTCTGACCCTCCTCAGACCCTCCTCTGACCCTCCTCAGACCCTCTTCAGACCCTCCTCAGACCCTCCTCTGACCCTCCTCTGACCCTCTTCAGACCCTCCTCAGACCCTCCTCAGACCCTCCTCTGACCCTCCTCTGACCCTCTTCAGACCCTCCTCAGACCCTCTTCAGACCCTCCTCAGACCCTCCTCAGACCCTCCTCAGACCCTCTTCAGACCCTCCTCTGACCCTCCTCTGACCCTCTTCAGACCCTCCTCTGACCCTCCTCAGACCCTCTTCAGACCCTCCTCAGACCCTCTTCAGACCCTCCTCAGACCCTCCTCTGACCCTCCTCAGACCCTCTTCAGACCCTCCTCAGACCCTCCTCTGACCCTCCTCTGACCCTCCTCTGACCCTCCTCAGACCCTCTTCAGACCCTCCTCAGACCCTCCTCAGACCCTCTTCAGACCCTCCTCTGACCCTCCTCTGACCCTCCTCTGACCCTCCTCAGACCCTCTTCAGACCCTCCTCAGACCCTCCTCTGACCCTCCTCTGACCCTCCTCAGACCCTCCTCTGACCCTCCTCAGACCCTCTTCAGACCCTCCTCAGACCCTCTTCAGACCCTCCTCTGACCCTCCTCAGACCCTCTTCAGACCCTCCTCAGACCCTCCTCTGACCCTCCTCAGACCCTCTTCAGACCTCTTCAGACCTCCTCAGACCCTCCTCTGACCCTCCTCAGACCCTCTTCAGACCCTCCTCAGACCCTCCTCTGACCCTCCTCTGACCCTCCTCAGACCTCCTCTGACCCTCCTCAGACCCTCCTCAGACCCTCTTCAGACCCTCCTCAGACCCTCTTCAGACCCTCCTCAGACCCTCCTCAGACCCTCTTCAGACCCTCCTCAGACCCTCCTCTGACCCTCCTCTGACCCTCCTCTGACCCTCCTCAGACCCTCCTCTGACCCTCCTCTGACCCTCTTCAGACCCTCCTCAGACCCTCCTCAGACCCTCCTCAGACCCTCCCCGGAAACCTGGACGCTAATCTCTTGAGGTTAATTCTCTCTCAGCTTTTAAATCCTCCTAATGCATTGGTGGGGGCGCCATGACCCGGGGTACAGCACTCAACAGGAGACGCTAACTCTGAGGCTAACTCTGAAGCTAACTCTGAGGCTAACTCTGAGGCTAACGCTGAGGCTAACTCTGAAGCTAACTCTGAGGCTAACTCTGAAGCTAACTCTGAGGCTAACTCTGAGGCTAACGCTGAGGCTAACTCTGAAGCTAACTCTGAGGCTAACTCTGAGGCTAACTCTGAGGCTAACTCTGAGGCTAACTCTGAAG